GCCCCGCGCGCCGGCCGGGGCAGGAAGAAATGGCTCCACCGCCGCCCGGCTCGGGGTCAGAGGCGTCAGGCGCCGGAGGTGCGGCCCCCACTAAGTACTCGGGGCTCCTGCAAGGCGCTTTCCCTTTCCTCCACTCCTCCCCAGCCCTTGCGCCTGAGAGCCCATGGGGCACCTGGCCTTGAGACTTTCCCTGCGCTGCGCTGTGACCAAGGACTCCCCAGAGTGCCTAAGAGTTAAATGGGAACCCCAAAGAGGTTCCTCTCCTGGGTTTTTTTTTTTTTTTTGCCAGCCCCGCAGGAATGGGAATGTAAGTGGATGGGGGGTGGGGTGGGAATCTAGACATTTTGTCATGATAGTATGTTGATGATGACAGTTAAGATCCAGAGCAAGTCCATTCATTCTTTGAAAACTTATTAAGTTGCAGCAGCTTGCTTGCTAGGCTAGAAGCTAAACTCTTGTGATACTTGCACATGTTACAAATAATCAGGAAAGTGTATCGTTCAAATTGCAATCAGTGACATGAGGAGTGGTGGAGCACATTCAGGGAGATCTAATTACACCGCTGATGAGAAAGAATGGCCTCACTTAAAAAGTAGCTGAGACTCACTCGGAGAGAGCAGGACTTGGGGAGACTGGAAGGGGGAGGGCAGATGCTGGTGCAGGGAGGAAGTAGGAAAACAGACGTGAGCAGAGGAGTTGAAGGAGGACGAGGCCAAAGTGGCTGAAGCAGCGTGAAGAGGTACAAGTCAGAGCGTTGAGCAGAAATGGGGTTATGAAGGACCTGGCAGACCACGCGAAGGCTGTTTAACTTGATCCTCAGAGGATGGACACAGAGTGTTCAGACTGTTACAGGACAGAGAGAGAGGCAGCACTGAAGCCCAAATCTCCCTGCTCTAAATGGGTTCTGCCATCTGGCCCATCAAGACATACATATAAAACTTTAATGAAAAGGGACTTTAATGCAGTGAATATACAATACGGAACACAAAGAATATAACTTCTAAATCAAACACCTGAAGTTACCCATCCCCTCGTGGGCTAAAGTCAACCCAAAAGGGATTGGCCCAAAGCAAGGCCTGAAAGCTGCCAACAAGACTAAAGCACCTTCTGGCTGGGACCCATAGAAAAGGGCCAGAAATGGCCAGACAAGTCTGGGGGGAAAAGAGCAAAATCAAAATTCAATAAAAACACTGCCTAGTCACCTCCCTACAGGTCTCTCACCCACTTCTGCCTTAACAGTCCAGGGCCAGGAAACAAGCACAGTTTCTTCATCACATGCTTGTTGTTCCATGTGTCTTCCTTAGGTCTCCTTCTGGCTCTCCATTCTGCTTCCTACTTTTTTCACTTCTCATATTTCTTCTCTTCTCTTTTTCTCTCCTCAGCTCCACCTCCTTCTGGGTGGGGCAGAGAACCTGGAACTTCCCCTTTTCCTAGGGACCACCCTGTTACAAGACCTGGGATAATACACTGCCTGACTCTCTGGGGGTGGGGGAGAGGGCAGGATGGAGAGTGAAGAACTGGGAGGATGTTACTGATGGTTAAATGGCAGGGGGACTGGCAGTGGAAATGAATGAAGAAAATGAAATATTGTTCTTACTAAAGTGAGGCAGGTGTCTATAGTTTGTCTGTATTCCTGCTGACTTCCATAGCCTTGCTTTCATGCCCTGACATATTCCTGGTAAAAGACAACAACCACAGTTAGACCTGCAGGTGCAAAGAGGGGGAAGAATCGGTAGTTTGAGAAAGAGCAACAATCCCTCTGAATTCAATATTGGGGTGTTACATACTCATTTGACACTGGGATAGGTTTCTTTCATACATACATCCTTCCCACCCTCCCGGCTTAATTATTTTATTTTTAAAGATTTATTTTTATTTACTTATGCATAAAAGGACTGAAATATAGGCCAGAGTTGAGGGGTATGAGAGGATTCACCAGAGACTGGGGGGTGTGGGGGGTGGGTTGTGTGCAGAACAGGTGGATCTACTGAAATATACTGCTGAAGGGAGCAGCAGGTGAGACAGGAGAGGTCTGCTGCACCATGTGGATCAGCCCCCTAGTTGGGAATGGAACTCATGCCACAGTGGCTGGTGATAGATAGTTTGATAGTGCTAAGACTTCAACCCTTCAGAGGCCTAGGGAGGCCTGGTTTAATTACTAAAAAAAAATAGAAACATTGATTTCAAATAAGATTGTCTTTGGAGGTTTCTTGTCTAGAAGCTTAGAGGAAGGAGCATGTACTTGAGAAATGAGACCAATTCAAGTCTAAATCCCAGATCAGCCATTAGCTTGGATTGATTCTCTCTGAGCCTCAGTTTCCTTGAGGAAAACAATATCTAGCTTTGGTGGGTGTCACAGAAAAGAAACAAAATATGCAAATAATAGAGATAAATATGGTAGATTTTGTCAGATTTTATGGAAAGTATATTCATAGCCATGAAAATAATGAATTGTGCATACAAAACGTAAAAAGGTACTTTGATATATAAAATCACGTTCTAAGTCCAACTTTCCCTGTTCTTCTTTCTATGAAAGTATGTTTGGGTAGCTGCTACAGTCTTCTAACAGGTGTGGTTGTGTGTGGGTATAAATGAAGAAAGGCAATGGGAGCATTGTTTACTAGTAAGGAATTCAGAGGGTGAGACAGGTTGTTCCCAGGGGTAACCTTTTCCATCTCAGGTAATTTGACAGGAAAGAGGTAGTCTATTCTATACCAGAATCCTAAACGGGGTCAGGGGATCTGGTAACAAACAGAAACCAGAAAGACCAACTGAATCTCAGTGCTTTCATTGTGCCATTCCTCCCCTGGATGGGGGGGGGGGGAGCATAGTAAAAATATAACAGACTATCAATTACACTTATGTATATAGTAAAAAATAAACCTTATGAATTGATATAATCAGCCACTTAGACTCTTATGTTAAGCACATATGCCTATTTTATTCTTGTGAAGTGTCTGCTTTTTTTAGAGATGTATTTATTTATTATTTATGCATAGCTGAACTGGGGCACAGGCCAGAATTGCAGTCTTGTGTGAGAGTATTCACCAGAGTGGGGTGCGGAACAGGCAGACTGACTGAAATACACTGCTAAAGGGAGCAGTAGGCGAGGCAGGAGAGGGCTGCTGCACCATGTGGGTCACCTCTCTGGCTGGGGATTTAAATCAGGCCATCAGGGAGGCTCAGATTCCACTTTTTAAAATATCATGTGTTGATATAAAAACTTTATGTAAAGTTCTGAGATTCCACTAAGGAAAATTATAATTGTCAGGATTCCTCTACATCTCATATTCTTACTAAGATTAAAGAAGAGCTTATCACATGGAACATCTCTGGAAAAGATCTTCTCACAAGGCAAGGCAATTTCACATTTAATCCTACCCCCCATTTACCATCCAGTCTTTTATTATTTTGCATTTTTTAATGCAATTTATACTTGTATTTGCTGACTCTTCTATAAAAATAGGGAATAGCTGGTCAGGGTTGTCTTACATATAAACGTGTGTTCTATTTTGTTAAGGTAAGATAGAATTCAGACAGAACTACAAGCCTAGTATTATTCTAAAGTAATTAGAAATCTTTAGATTATGGTTCACTTTGACAATCTAACCAATTTTATCCTTAATATTTAATAATTCTAATTGTTACTTTATGAAGGCCATCCAGGATATACATTTGAAATCTTTATAATTTATATATTGCCCACATACACACATACGTGTGTGTGTATATATATATATATATATATATATATATATA